GTTATACTCAAATTATCTCTTTACTCTGTCCCTTTGAATCCAAGCCTCTAGGCAAAGGAAAAGGAGGACTGGGCTACAGGGGAAAAGGATGGAAAGAGAGAAGTGCAGGTTAGGAGAAAAATGATTACACACCAAAGTATCTTAGGAGTTACATTATTCATGTAATTAAGAGATGGAGATAATCCTGGTGGGGTCAATAAAATCATAAGAGGGTATGAAAAGACTATGTTCAACTTTCTTTAAGTAGTCCCAGCCCCCACGCCTGAGATGTGAAGAGATGACTATAAAATCCTTGTGCGAGCCTAACAGTCTACATGTACGTTTTTTAAAAAAATATCTGTCCCCCAGAGATTAGAAGCAAAAGGGATGGATACAAGACTGAGTGGGTTGGATCATCATTCCTCCACCTAGCACGGGGCCTGATGGAATTCTTGCTTAATCGATGGTTGTTGAATAGATTAATTGAAGTAATTCTCCAATTACTTCCTGGACCTGACATCACAATAACTGGATGTATTGATACATTTTTTTTCTGGCTTTTGTGCCTTTGAAGGGTTCGCAGCTGTGAAAAATAACTTTAACAGTTCTGTTTCTTTTCTTGGCCTTGAGACAGCTTGAGAAGATAAGACACCCATTGGAACGAGGTGTGCCAGGAGGAAAAAAATAATAGTGAAAAACGTTTATTAGCAGACTTCTTGAGCACCAGTTCTCCAATTTAATTAACATTTATATGAACTCAGCAAATAGTATGTAGCACGTGTAAAAAAATTAATAATATACTTTTATTAATTAAAAAAGTTTCAGCACTGGAAAAAAATCTTGTCATTGGATCAGTTTTACAGAGAGGCCCTAGGTGGGCATTAGAATTGACAGACAGAGTCAGGACTAAAACTTGCTTTTCCACCTTGGGAGAAGCAAATACCTTTCACAAAAAAATATCCTAAGCAACTGCTGATTTTTCTTGCCTGTGTTTAGAATGAACCAACGTTTCAAAGCCCCAAACAAGTTTGGGGGTGGGGACCTCCACCAGGGGAGTCCTCCACCCACAGGTGCCCGGGTTCCTCTTTGGACCATCTCACTAGCTTTAATAATTGCTTTGATATTATGCGCTCCAGCAAACGGTGAGCATTGGCCGGATCAAGCCGGACTTCCAGCAAGAGCGTTTCAAGTTCCACTTTTTACTCTTCGCAATTTGAAAGAAGTGATGTGCGCGCCCCCCCCCCCCCCCGCCCCTAAAGTTTGTTTTCTAGCTATCAACTCGCTTCCTCTCTCGGTTTCCATCTCAGTTGCCAGAGAATCGCAGTCATTAGCCCAGTTCATTTAGACGAGAAGGTGCCTTTTGTGTACAGAATGAGAGCCATCGCGTGGCCACGGATAACCACGCGGAAGGAGGAAACGTGTTTCTTTCTTTCTTTCTTTTTCTGTCGCGAGCGGCTGCCAGCGGCCAGGAGGCGTGCTCGGTGGAGTGGCCGAGGCCACTTTCGAAGTTAGCAAACAAAGCGTCTCCCCAGTAACGGCCGGGCTCCAGACGCGGCTCCTGCCACTCAGGCCGCGGCGTGGCGGCGTGGGCCGGCCCCGGCTCCTCCTCCCGGCGTCTCTCCTCCCTCCTCCCCGTTCCCCAGCGGATGTGAGCCGCCAATCCCAGCCACAAACCAGCCTTCAAACGCTGGGACGGAGCGGCCCTCTAACGGGCGGCCCCCGCCCGTCCCTGCCCCACATCTGTCCCGCTCCCGGCGCGGCAGCTGATTCATCTGCAGCCAGGCCCGGGGAGGGAACCGCGCTCCAGCGAGCTGCAGGGGGCCTTCCCGGTGCGGGTTTGCCCCGGGACCAAGTTTGTCTGCTTTGTCGTTTCCGAAAGTGTGTTCTTTTAGGTGCTGATCAGTCGGCAAAACACCGAAGGGGGGTGGGGGGGATCGTAAGGTCGCTGCCTGCTGAGAGTGACGCTTTTTTCCTTGTTTACTCATTTTAGGTCCTGTCATTGGAAAAACCACCCAAGCTTTGTAAACTCTGGCCTCAATTCACTCTGCTGGCGGGGGTGTCTTTTTTTTTTTTTTTTTTTTTTTTTTTGGAGGGTGAGTGTGGGTGGGAGGCTGGCTTTAATTGAATCCGAAAACAGAGGCTCCAAAGTCTAGTTAGTCATCGTTTGGCTGCCTCGGTCCTCTGGTTTAACCTTATTTCCACGGCGCTGCTCCGACCGGGCTCTCCATTGAGGTTACCAAACAAAAAGAGCACAGAGCCGAAACCGGAGGCCGGCTCGGGCGCTGACGTCTCTGCCGGGGTTATTTACGTTGGGGATTTTTTTTTTTTTTTCTTTTAAGTGACGGCGAAAGTCTCACTGTGGCCATGTGACAGTTCGTTTACTTCAAAGCAACAGGACACGGACACACACACACACACACACGCGCGCGCGCGCGCGCAGGAAAACTCGACTCAGAGGAGGAGGCGGGGAGGGAGGGGGTCTGCGTTTCTTGGAATCAGCCAAACAGGATCTGGCCTTTGGAAAGGGTAATTTCACCAAGGAACTCCTGTTGTGAGTCTTCTTCCACCAAGACAGCCCTACAAGGAGCATGCGGTTTTTTGTTTTTTTTTTTGTCTCCATGACTAGTTTGAAACTTCCGATGAGAGAGGGGTTTACGTCTTAAAAGTAGACTTTCCCAAAACAGATGAGCAGCCCCGGTGTGGTCACCTCCTTTCCCTAAAGGCGGCAGAGGCCCGGGTCCGAGAGCGGCGGAGTCCGGCCGGGAGGCGGCGGCGGGAGGGGACTTTTAAAGAGCATGTGAGCATGACAAGTGTGCGCCGCAACGTGTTCGATTTCGAAACTGCCTTGCAATCCAGTCCGGAACTCACAGCTTGAGCCCTAGCCCGGGGGAACAGTCATTCTCCTCGGGTGTCTGCGTCTCATTCCCCCCACCCCCCGCCTCCCGGCCCCGCACGGCCGCGGTCGGAGGAAGAGCCCCCGGAGGAGAAGGGCGCGCCGCGCCGCGCCCCGAGCCCAGGGCAGCCGCGCGCCCGGGAAGAAGTTGGTTCTTGTCCCGAATACTTTCCCCGCGGCCCCGCCCCTGGAGCCCGAGCGGCTGTCTCCTCCCGCGGCTGGAGCCCGGGGCAGCTGTCAAAAACCGTGTGTGTGTGTGTGTGTGTGTGTGTGTGTGTGTGTGTGTGTGTGTGAATGTGTGTGTGCTCGCTTTCCCTCCCGGGGCTAGAGGAGAGGAAGGAGGGGGCGGCCCGAGTTCCATCTGTTGCCGTTTCCTAACCAAACACACCTCCGTGGGCCCCGGGAAGAAAGGCCCAAAGGAGAGAAACCCGGAGCGCTCGGCTGGGGGGCGGCCGCGGCCCAACGAGGGGTGCGGGAGGCGTGCGCGCCCCGGGGAGGGGGAGAAGGCTCGGGTTTCGGGGCTCCGCCGCCCCCACCGGGGACCGGTAACGGCGGCCCCGGGGGCGCCGGGGGAGGCGGAGCGGCCGGGCCCGCGTGCAGCCCTCCCCGGCTGCGAGGTGTGGGGGAGGGGCGGGGAGGCGGGCGGGGGACGGGGCGGGCGGCTGGGGGCGGAGGCAGCACCTCCTGTACCTTCCCCTCCTCACCGCTCACTCTGACAGCGCCGAGGTGCGCCGATCGCGAGCGGGGAACAAAGGAGCGGCGCGGGGAGGGCGAGGGAGAGCCCCCGGCCGGCTGCCAGGCGATCCCGGCGGCAGGAAGCCCAAGTGTCACTCGCATTCCGCCCAAGCGGCGGGCGCCCGGGACCCGAGCGCAGGGGCCGCAGTCACTGCCTGGGCTCGTCCCGTACAAGTTCCCGGAGAGTCCGTCCTCGGGGCAGGAGGACAGCCGCTGCCCCCCTGCACCCCCGCTCCTGCCCTCGCCCCCCGAGACCCCCGCGCTGGAAGGGGGGAGCTACAGGATGAAAAGCAAGAAAGGTAAGGTCCGCGGGCGGCCGCCCCGAGGGCGCGTGTCCCTGGGAGAAGCGTGCGCGCCGGGCTCGGGGCGAGAGGGACTTGGGGGACCTGCCAGCCCCGTGGGGACCGGGGCCGGCCGGCCTCTTTGTGGAGGCTGCGTCCCCTCCAGACATAACACGGGGGGCCGCTATGGGGAGACGGGCCTCCGTCTCCACGCCGCTGGCACGTTGTCAAGAAACACGCTCGCCGCCTTGTTTGTGCGCCTCCAACTTTCATTGTCTCCGCCGGCGCCCCACGCTTCCCCGGGCGGCCGCGTGGCCTCTCGCTGAGGGTTCTCCTGGGCGGGGGGCTGTGCGGGCCCTTACTCCGGGGGTACCCCCGCCCCCGCCCCGCTGTCCCCGGCGGCGGCCTGGAGGAGCGCCTTTGTCTGAAAGTTGGGCTTGGATTCCGGGGTTCCCACTCCCCCGAACCCCCTCCACACACACACACACACACACACACACACACACACCCAGCTGGGCCCAGACGCTCTCTTCTCTCTGGGGATGGGGGCGTTTTCACAACCAGAAAGGAGTGCTCCTCCGGCCCCCAGCTCGCCCTCGGGGGTCGGAAACTTCAGGAAAGCTGGCCTTATAGTCATTCCTGGCCGCCAAACTTTTCCCACGAAGCGTGTGGGGCGAGATGGGAGAGTTGGGACCGAGGGCGAGCGGCTCGCCGCGCTCTGACAAGCCGGCCGGGCTGTGGGGGCGAGCCTGTCATTGTTTCCACGAGCCGTTCTGGAAGCCTCGCAGCTGAAACTGGCTGTCAGTCTGGCTTAAAAACAAAACACACTAGAGAAAGAGAGAAAGAAAGAAGGAGGGGAAAGAAAAAAAAAAAAAAAAAAAAAGCCTGCCACCACGAAAGGTCAAAGCATGGTGGCTCCCCCTCTTGAGGTGAACTTTTGCGCCCCTGACGGGAGGCGCCCCGCACGCCCCGCCGCGGGCTCCGGGTTGTGATTTGGGGGCCGCGGGGGGGGGGGGGCGGGGGCGGGGCGCGCAGGCGCAGACGCGCCCGGAGTTTCCGTGGCGCCGCATTCTTTCGGGCGGCCCCGCGGGGACAGTTAGAACAACTCGGTTAGAACGCGGCCGCCCCCGGCCCGGCCCACCCCGGGGTGCTGTGTTCTGGGCGGTGGCCTGGCGCCTTGGGGACTCGCCTCGCCGGACGCGTCCGGGTCGGGGCTTTCGTAGCGGCTGGGAGCAGGCTCCCCGCTGAGCCCCGTTCGGGACGGTGACAACTCGGCGCCGGGAAGTTCGGCCACGTAACGGCGCGGGGGGCCGCCCCTGGAAGGCCATGTCTGCTCCGGGAGGACTGACAGGTCTGCATCCTTCCCGGGGGGCTCTCCCGCGGGCGCTGGGACCCCCTGGGAGAAGTGGGGGTGAAGCGGGGTGTTGGGGGGAGGGTGGAAGAGTGGTACTTGTGAGCCCAATGGAAAGCCCGGCGTCCGCGGGGGTCGGGCTCCCCGCATGGTTCGGGGTCCGGTGAGGGAAGCGTGGGTTAGATCCCGACCTGCGCCCCCCGCCTCACTCCCCAAAGCCTCCCCGGTCCCCCCGCCCCCACCGGCCGGCCGTTGGGTACCTCACCCCGCCCTCTCCTGCCCAGGTGCAGCCGGGCGTCCCTCGCCGCGGTTCCCCGGCTCTTTAGGGTACCTTCCCGCCCCCTCCCTGGCAGATTTTGGGTTACCCCCGCCCCCTCGCTCCCATTGTCCCTCGCTCGGTCCGCGGCCCTCGGGTGCCTCCGGGTCGCCCCCTTTCCCCGCCGCCGGCCGCAGGATGGGGGTCCCGGGAGTCCTGCCGCCGAGCGCCGGCTCCCGGGAACCCTGAGCGGTGCGGGGGCCGGGAACTTGGCGCCGGCGCGGGGCCGCGCAGACGGCCCGGGCTCTGCACCTTTTTAGGGTTTCTTGGCAAATCCTTCGGGGTGGGCAGGCCCCTCAGAATGTAGAGATTCTCGGCACCGTCTCCGGTTTCTTGTAACCTGAGACGCCCGGGTCCCGGCGGCGCTCGCGCTGCCGTTGGAGGGGCCGAGCCCCGTGCGGGCGGAGGACGCCGCCGCCGAACAAAAGCCGAGAGAGGGCCGCCCCCTGGGCGCCCCCCCCGCCCCAGGCCCCGCCGCCGCCCCCCGGTTCCCCCCCCACCCAGGCCCCGCCGCCGCCCCCGGCCCCCCCCCCCTAGGCCCCGCCGCCCCGCGCCGGCTGCCTGGGGGGGGGGGGGGGCGCGTTCCGAGCCGCTCAGCGAAGGCTCTGGAAGACCCCCCCCCCCCGCCCCCGACTGCTGTTGGTCTCATAAAAGTCTGAACATCTTTTCAAGTTTTCTGGGAAACAAAGTCACCTCAAACCCTACACAGAGCCCGGGCTTCGTGATAATAGTGTCCCGTCTTAGAAAGCAGAGGATGCCCGAAGTTCTCCCCAAAGGGCTCCACGCCAAGCAGAAAGAAGGTTCCTTGAGAAAAAGCCCCCAAGTCTCCTAGCTCACGATTTCTGACATTTAATAAAGGATTCTCCCTTTAACCTTGGCCTGTGGCTGCGGCCAGCCCAGTACCCTTCGGGCTGAGTTCGGTTCCTGTCCCTTCTGAGCTGTTCTGATCTGGGAGTTTTGCTTTTTCCCAATTGTGTGCCCAAACGTTTCCTCCCATCATTCGAATCTGTTTCTAGGTTCTCTTCTAGATACACAAGCACTCTTCTCTGCTCCCTTTCGCACGCCCCGCTCCTACTCAAATGAAAAGATTGCTTCATGGACCCGTGGGAGCCATAGGCCATCGTCTGGCTCTCTAAACAACATTTCCTTGTATGTGGATGGAGTAAAAGAGGCCTGTGATCCCGCACCCCTCCCCCCCACCACATACTTTTTAAAAAGTGTAAGCAGAGAGCAGGACGTTTGGAAACAAGTCGTAACCGGGAAACTTTTCAAAGGCTCTGTTACAATAGGAAATGAGTAACGTGGAAGTCTTTTTGTTTTTCCAAGCTGAGCCACAATCCGGAGGGAGAGTTTTAATGAAAATAGTCCTGACAGCAGCAAACGTGGTTTGCTGCAGTGAAATATCAGCTGGTGTAGCCAAGAAACTGAAGTCTTAACTTCCTGTTACTTCAGCTTTTGTGCACATATTGGAAATATTTGTTAAGAGGGCCAGAGGCCTGGCATTTATTTGTTTAAATGAACTGAGAACAGAATAAAGTCGCCCTGCAGTTTGGTGTTGCTTAACTGAAACCTGCTTTTGTATGTCATTAACCTATTCTAAAAGTTCAGGCTTCTTGTCAAACTTAAGCAGATCGAAGTGCAGGCTTCAGGGTCTTTTTGTTGTTTTAAATTATTATCGACTTACAGTTGAGAATTCAGTTTAATGAGCAAATTTTCACAGTTTAAAAAAATATAAAAGGGATGGGGGATAACAGCTTTGAAAAGAATGCCTGGCTTTTCAGACATTGAGAAGTTTAAACAAAGTTGCTTTAGTTACTCAAGTATTTAAAAATTAGAGTTAAAAAGCTAGATTTCTTTGCAAATATAAAATGTACTTAAATACTTATTAAGTTCTTTTTTTATTTTTATGAAGAACTCTTCACCCAAGTTTTAATATGGGTTTAACATTTTTCTCATCTTTTCAACAGTGAAAGCAGTTTCAGTTTTAAATGTACCTCTTTTTTTTTTTTTTTTTTTTTTTTTTTTTTTTTAAGTAGTTTAATAGGCCTTGGTGGTGGGGTAGCTCAGTTGATTAGACTGTCACCCCCATACTCCAAGTTTTGGGGGTTCCATCCCTGGCCAGGCCACATACAAGAATCAATCAAGGAATGCATAAATAAGTGGAACAACAAATCAATGTTTCTCTCTTTCTACCCCTTCCTGTCTCTCTAAAATCAATGTTAAAAAAAAAAAAAAGGCAGTTTAATGAAAGCTTCTGGGAAGCAAAACATCAAATACATGGGGTTAATATTTAGGATTCTTCTGTGATTGGTTTATTGATGGCTGTTTATTAAGGCTTGAGCTAAAGTGAATTTGCAAGATCAAATTTTTTTTAAATTAAATTTATTGGGGTGACATTGGTCGATATGATCATACAGGTTTCAGGTGTGGGTTTTTGTTATTCATCCTGCTCTTTTGTTAAACTTGGTCTACTTGGTCTTGGGAAGGTCCTGCCTTTTCTGTGGACACTCCAACACCTTCTGCCCCCTGCAGTCCAAAACTAACCATGTGTCCCAAATAAAGTCACACTCAACTAACCTGGTATCTCATCAGCAAACCTTTGAATGGGTAGCTCTTTGAGTTTCATTGTGTTAAGAGGCTTTAAAAGGATGTTTTTGTTTTTTAAATCCTCGAAAGTACATTGAGTAGCTTATCACTGTGAGGAATATTCTGTTTTTATTTCCTATCAAGGTAAACCACTCAATTAAGTTTGCATCAACAAAGTTAAGAATGCATAACTTTAAATTTTGTGTTAGTTTAATCAATTTTCTTTATGTAGAAGTACTGGTATGTTCGAGCATGCACTAGTTTATGATTCATTTATATCCTTAAAATCTTAGATCGATATGTTCTAAGAGTTGTCCATGTTCTTTTGTGTGTGTGTGTGTGTGTGTGTGTGTGTGTGTACGCGCGTGCACGGGCGCATTGGGGGTGAGTGTTTAATATCATATAAAGTTCTAAATTCTGTTTAAATATCTAAAAGGGCGAGGACTAAATTTTTGTTGAACCCAGTCTGTGTGTGATTTGAATGTCCTTTAATGGTTTGTGAATTCTTAATTTCTGGTGGGATTAAAGTACTTACAGACAAGATATTTTCCTTTGGGGTTACATATTCAGGGTTGTATTTGTCATGTAAATAAGACAACTCTTATTGACACCCCGTGTTCTAGGTTCAGATTAATCTGGCAGTAGAAGTTTATATGAAATTAAAATTTTTATTCACTTAAGGCATCTTTGACTAAAGCTAATAGAATTTTTTTGTGCAACAACACTGAAAACTTTATTGATTGTATTTTCTAAAAAGTGATCAGTGCTGGCCATTAAAAATGGTGTTGAATAAATGTAAGGAGCCATGAAAAAGAAATGACTATAGAATAGGCAGGAACTTTTGACATGCATTTTATCTTTAGAATACTAACTGGGTTAAGCGTGTAATTTTCTCTCCTTATATCAGTGAAAAAAGATGTACAGATACTTATTTTTTATTTCAAACCTTCAGGGGAAGGAGGAAGAATAGCATTTAAAATGTACAATAGAACATTCATTAGATTCATCCTAGATAGCAGTGACTTCAAAGAGGTTGTTAGACACATTCCATCTGTTATAGCACCTTTCCTGGTGGCAAGCTGTTACTCCCTTGAGGTGGGGCTTTGTCTCCCCTGTTGGATTGCATGAAGGACTTTTCTGAGTATCCTTCCAAAGGAATGTGAAAAGTTGAATCATAGGAAAGTGGGCATACATGAAAGGGCTTCTGACAACTGGTTGAGAATCTAGAATATGCTTCTAGTCAAATTACTCTTGAGACTTTACATGTGCTCTGGTATTTCAGGACAGAAAACACTCACTGGTCCTTCCCCTGCCTCTCAGTAGTTGAGAAAACATGTTTACGCTGAATGGTCAAAAGAGATGAGTTTTTCAGTAGGTGCTCTGCTGATGAAATCGGCTGACTGGCCTTTGTCCTTTCCTAGGTGTTGTAGCCTCCGGCAGTGAGACTGAGGATGATGACAGCATGGACATCCCCCTGGACCTTTCCTCTTCTGCCGGCTCAGGCAAGAGGAGGAGAAGGGGCAACCTGCCCAAGGAATCGGTGCAGATTCTCCGAGATTGGCTGTATGAGCATCGGTACAATGCCTATCCCTCAGAGCAAGAAAAAGCATTGCTGTCCCAGCAAACACATCTATCTACACTACAGGTAGGAAAAAAAGAACATGAGGTATATGCACTCAGGTTTCTTTCTTTCTTTTTCCCCCTAAAGTCATTTTATAGCATTCCTGTATGCCAAGTCATTAAGTGCCTCCTGACTCAAAAGCTTGGGGTGGGGGATATCTTTTAAACTTTCTAGTGCTGATGGCTAATAACTGGCTATTTAGAGAAACAAACACTTGACAGTCATCTGTCAAATAACATTTCCTTTAATGCCTAAAAGAGCCTCCCTTTGTGTAACAATCATAAAAAGGAGGTTAAATCTTACTCTATTACCCAGGAAACTGGTTTGATATTTAAACAAGGACAGACCTCAGTGAGGTAATTCATGTCTGTCTGTTGACACAGTGATTTGAACTGAGAAGAATCAGTAACTTGGGGGCGTGGCCCTTTTCATACAAGAAAGATTTTCCTGTAGTTGATTAACTTCAATGCTGGGGCAGTAGGTAATCGGTTAATATGAGTTAGAGACAAAAGGTAAATCTCCTTCTCTAAAGTAATGTTTAGACATTTGAGAATTTATACCTTTATTTTCCTCCTGAAAAGGTTTATGGATGATGAAACACAAAAGGGAATTGTATTGGAGAGAAGCATGTTTATGATAGGAAGCAGTTTTCTTTCTTGTCTGGGCTCGGATACGTTGGAATAACTTCGTAATTTCTGATAAGTCTTTTCATGTCTTATTAAATGCAAAGAGATAATTAAGCATCTATGGAAGGTTCTCAGAACATGTATGCTGAGTGTTAAAGCATACCCAAATCATTTCAGGTCTGTAACTGGTTCATCAACGCCCGCCGAAGGCTCCTCCCTGACATGCTGAGAAAGGATGGCAAAGATCCAAATCAGTTCACAATTTCCCGCCGTGGGGCCAAGATATCTGAAGTGAGCTCTGTGGAGTCAGCAATGGGCATCAAAAACTTCATGCCAGCTTTGGAGGAGAGCCCATTTCATTCCTGTCCTACTGGACCAAACCCAGCCCTAGGGAGGCCACTGTCCCCTAAGCCGTCATCTCCAGGATCAATCCTGGCTCGTCCATCAGTGATCTGTCATACCACTGTGACTGCATTGAAAGATGTGCCTTTCTCTCTGTGTCAGCCAGTTGGTGTGGGACAAAACACAGATATACAGCAGATAGCAGCCGGCAACTTTACAGACACCTCCCTCATGTACCCAGAGGACATGTGTAAAATTGGACCAAGCACAACTACACAAAGTGGTCTTTTCAACACTCCTCCCCCTACTCCTCCGGACCTCAACCAGGACTTTAGTGGATTTCAGCTTCTAGTGGATGTTGCACTCAAACGGGCTGCAGAAATGGAGCTTCAGGCAAAACTTACAGCTTAACTATTTTCAAGCAAAACAGTTCTAACAAATGTTTTGATTGCCAGGGTGATGGCAAGAGATAAATCGTGTTATTTTATATATTTTTTTATTAATATTTGCACATGGGATTGTTAAAAATGAAGCTCCCTGTTACTGAGATGTCTTCAATGGAATACAGTCATTCCAACAACTATAAACTCAAAACTACTGTAGAAACAAAGGTTTTTTGTTTTTTTTAATGTTTCTTGGTAGATTATTCATAATGTGATATGGTTCCCAAGATTATGTGATTTTTTTTTTCCCCTCCCTTCCTCCCCCCCTTTTTTTTGTTGGTGTTTTTTCAGACTGTGCAATACTTAGAGGACCTATATAGTATCTTCTCATTCCCATGTGGAACAGGATGTCCACATACTGTCTAATAAATTTTCAAATTTTTTTCAAGCAAGTATGAATCTAGTTGATTGATGCCTTTTTTTCATGACACAATAAAGTATTTTCTTTAAAATTTACTGTAACAGACTGTTTTGTTGAGGGAGGTGCTTCTTAAAAGTGAGTAGGAATATATCACGCCAATGAGAGGAAGTTGGGGGGTTGGGCTGAGTGAGTTGGGGGGTGTCACCAGCTCTTTGAAGAACCTTGGACAATAAGCCAGTATGTATAAACAGGATGTGTGATATTTACTCTCAATAGGAGGCATAAAGCTTTACTTAAACTGCAGGGCAAATTGAAATGAATCATTCCATCAGAGTTTAGCTAATCACTCAATCCCTTGGTAATCTGTCCTGCATATTTTAAGACATGGCCAGTATTGAAAAGAAAGGACTCAAAGCACCTGATAATGGCTTAAGTTTCCAGAAGTAAACAAACTAAGCAGTCTCTTAATGTTACTCCTTTTTCATGTGACCCTTTAAACTTTATTCTTTGGTACAGTTAGATGAGGAGTTTACATTCAAAAACAGCATTATTTGTACGGAAATCACCTTTTAAACATTTTTTAAAGTGATTAAAACAGACGTTCTATCTTTTGTGGGCCTGCTAACTAGGTTCCTTTTCTAAGGTCACAGTTTGTGAGAAAATGGTGCCATATGCAAGCGGAGTTTGTTGGGATAGATGTTACTTATGAAGCCAGGATGGCCAGAAGGCAATTGGTGGTGTTTCTTTCACTTACTGTTGAGCAGCTTTGTCACATGCCACAAAACCATTCTTTGTAGTCATGCTTAGTATGAGGTTTCTTTTGTTATGACACTCATGTTTTTTTCTAGCCCTGACCCAGCTATGAATTGTCTAAGTTTGAGGAAGCCTCAGAGCTTCAGCATTGTTTAAAGAATATAGAAAAATTCTACCAAATTTAAGTTTGTAGAAACTAGAAAGTCCCTACTGTAGAAAGAGCTAAATTCCAAGACTTTTTGTAAATGAAAGAAAACTTACAACCAGGAGGTGTAAAAAAAAAAAAAAATAGGTGAGGAAAAGGTGTGCTGTTATAATTTGGTAAGAGCACAGGCACAACAGCCTCAAGTGATCTGATTCCCACCTCAGGGTCACATAAATAGATAAAACTGAAATAATACATAAAAGGAACAAAACAAAAATGAGATCGAAGTGACTGAAAATCATTAGTTGCTCTAATAGCTAGATCAAAGGCTGAGAGACTTGGAGTATAGATAAGGGAGACAAGCAAATCATAAAAGGCTTTTCCCAGTTAAGATGTTTTATGAATCATACCAGAAGGGAAAGAAGAAGCCATATGAGTGATTAAAGAAAACGTCAAGGGTCAAATGAAAACACAAAGGTTTAAGAAAAAAGTCACCCCAAATTGCCTGTTTTATTTTTTTTCCTCTTGAAGTTGATTGATTATAAATGTAATTGGAAGGATAAATGTATTTTAAAATTTTTAAGTCTAAACCAAGTAGAAGTTATTTTATGCTTAGTATTTGCATTTAACATTTGTATATTTTTCATTTGCTTATTTTTAACCTATTTTGTTTAAAATTCATCCCTTTTAGATAGCATACATTTGGGTCTTTTTTTTATTTAACCTAGTCTGCCTTTTTTACTTGGTGTGTTTAGTTGATTTACATTTATGTAATTATTGATATGTTTGGATTTATTTACCATTTGGGTTTTTTTTTTCTTCCTCTGTTACTCTTTCTACCTTTTGGGTTGCATGAATATTTTTAGTATTTTGGTTTTACCTTTTCTATTGGTTTATAAACTATAGTTTTTTAAAAAAGTTTTGTTCAGTTACAGTTGACTGAACAACCACTAAAAGTGGTTGCTCTGGGATTACAATATTTATCTTTAACTTATTGTAATCTACTTAGTATTAATATTTCAATTTTGTATATAACCTTCCAACAGTATAGTTCCATTCATTCTCCTATTTCCCTTTGTGTTCCATATATATTATGGCTACATGATAAATCCAACAGGGCAATGTTATCATTTTTCCTTTAAACAGTTAAATGCATTACAAAAAGAGAAAAGAGTGTACATATAGTCTTATTTGCTAAATATTTACCATTTGTGAGGTTCGACATTTGTGTCAGTCCAAATTACATGTCATTTTGCTTCAGCTTACAGGAATTTCTTCAGACTTGTGTGGGCTTGTGGTGACAAATTGTGTTTTTGTTCATTGAAAATATTTTACCTTTGAAAGGGTAGTTTCACTAAAGATAGAATTAGGGGTTGATAATCTTTTAAAGTTTTTTCACTGTTGCATTTATTATCTTCTGGTTACATTGTTTTTTAATATGTTTTTATTAAAAAATATTAATGTGTTTTTATTTATTTTGAGAGAGAGAGAAAGAGAAAAACATTGATTGACCGCCTCTTACATGCCTCCTACTGGGGATCCAGCCACGTGCCCTGACCCAGAATTGAACAGCAACCTGTCTGTGGATGGGACAATATTCAACAAACAGCCCCACTGGCCAGGGCTGGCGTCCACTGTTTTTGATGAAACAACAGTTGTCTTTTGTATCGTTATTCTCTTGTACATAATGTCTTTTTCTCTGGCTCTTTTTTATCATATTTTAATATAATGCTTGAGGTTTGTTGAGCTGCTTAGCTCAGTGAGTTTACATTTGGGAAGTTGTGGCCATTTCATTTTTTTTTCCTGCTTTCTCCTAAAATTCCAGTAGATTTATATTAGATCACTTGAGATTGTCCTACATGCCTCTAAGGCTCTATTTTTTTTTTTTTTTTCAATCTTGGTTCTCTATATGGGTTGGATCATTTGTATTTGTTTACTTATCTGCACATTGGAATCACCTGGAAAGCTTTCCAAAAACCCCACAAAAACTGTGGGATGGGTTTAGAAATTTTGAAAAGCTCCTTTAGTCATGCTAATGCATAGGCACATTTAGGAACCACTGTCCTAAATAATTCCTTAAATTAGCCATTGTTTCTCTTCATAAGTAGAATATTAGGAATCTCTTTCCAGACAAAATTTTTGTTTTTGCAGTTTTTTTCTTGGGGCATCTTTGTGAAAGAAATGTTATTTGCTGTAAAGTCATCACCCAAGTTAATTTATCCAGTTAGGTTTAATGTAAATTTGAAAGTGGCACTGAGATTATCCTATAGTATACATAAAGTATACATAAAGTCCATATAATATGTAATGCCAAGCCACTAACAAATAGGTCTAACACTGCAGGAAGGTAACATGCATTAGTATCAAACCAAAAAAATAAACTTGATCTCTGGAAACGAGTTAAAAACAATGCTCAGAGATCTACTGTTTTGTCTCCTTGGGCTATTTAAGAGGAGAGTGTTATAATTCTGTTGCTTTAAACTTCTTCCCAATGATTTTTTTGCTTGGAAATTTGATTGCTTAAATCAGTGGTCGGCAAACTCATTAGTCAACAGAGCCAAATATCAACAGTACAACGACTGGAGTTTCTTTTGAGAGCTACATTTTTTAAACTTAAAATTCTTCTAACACCACTTTTTCAAAATAAGCTCATCCAAGCTGTGGTATTTTGTGGAAGAGCCACAACTCAAGGGGCCAAAGAGCCACATGTGGCTTGAGAGCCGCAGTTTGCCAACCACAGGCTTAAATGATTGTGTGAAAAGCCAGTGTGTGTGACACTAACATTTTCCCATCCTGCCCAGCCTTTGGATATAATAAATCTCCACAATGTGGAAGACCATTTGTTTTAAATTATCTAATCAATAGCCTTTCCCATGTAATATCATTTATCATCTATAAACCCATATTCAAATGAAAATGTTAGAGTCATTTGAAATGGACAATATATAAAATGTATATAATATTTTATACTCTATATTTTACTATTATATTGATTGAACATTTTATATGCATATCTCCCTTAATCCTCACAACCCTGATGAGATGCTACTCCCATTGTGTATCTAAGGAAACAGATTCATCAATGTTCAGCTTTCCTGGTTACCAGCTGCAGTAGAGCCCACATCCATGGGGTGATTCTGTAAGCTTACACTTCCACACACTATGCCTGAAAGGAGACAGTTTGGAATCATCCCACATTTATTACCCTGTTCAGTAAGGAATTGGTGGTTGCTTTGGGAGATGATCATAATATACATGTTTTATCTTCCAAGTACCTCAGATTACCATTCTGCTGTGTATTAACCGCTCTCCCTTTGCCCGTTCCATTCTTTGGCCACATTCCATCCCTTTGGCCACCTTTGCTTCTCAGGAGACTTGCAGGATCTGACACATCCTCCTGGTGTCCTAAACCTTAGGGCTAGCCAGGGCCTGAAATAGTGAGCTCTGCAATGCCAAGAAATGTTTTGTAGCTTCTCCGTGCAAGTCTTATACTTAAGCTGGTATTCAATGTATGGGAATGCTTTCTCACTCCTTAACTCCAGCCCCCAAACATCCACCTTTTCTAAAACAATATGTCAATTAGAGCCAAAGGTCTTACATGATATACAACACGGGGCAAAGATCAGCTTTAAAATAAATAAACACCTCTTTGTGAACAAAATAAAGCAGAGCATTCTTTTCCCTTTGGAGACCCAAGATACAGCAGGAATAAACTTGGCCTATGTAAGTTTTGTAAAAGAACTGCCAACTCCAAGCTTGACTAAAAGATTAGCTTTATTTGGTGAAATGTGTTTCTATTCACAGGCAGGTGCTGCCCTGATTCACCAACTCCTGCTAATTTGAACCTGCAGAGGTACCTTTGATCAGCTCTCTCAGAGCCTCACCGGTTTCCCTAGTTGGCTGAGAAAACATCAAAAGAACTGTAATGCCGACTCTAATCTCAGCCTTCCTGTTTCTGCATCTGCCCACTGGGTTCACACAGCAGCATGTTTTCCTTGAAAGGCATTCTTAGCGATTGTACTGGGTGTCACAATGTTAAACTTGCATCCATTGTGGGGGGGGGCGGGGGGAGGGAACGCTTTTCTCTTTGTAACTCAAATCTCTGCAAATGATGAATCAGGCCTCTTCG